CTCTCCCTCCCTCTCTCTCGCCCCCCCTCCCACCCTCCCCACACACACACACACACATACACACACACACACGAGACAGAAAAGGTGAGCTTGTTCTGTTTCCCCTTCTCACTATACAACTGGTGCAGCTTTTAAGACTGGGGAATCCTTTGAACTTGCCAATAAACTTTCCTGGAGTCCAGTGGGGCAGGGAAAGTGGGGGAGATCCCAGACCATCATCTTTTTCCATTGGCAGTTTGCAGTGTCCAAGCAAGGACTGCAGGAAGTCTTTACCTTTATCTCAGCAAAGACAATTTCCAATATCCATATTCTGAAATAGGTTGTACATTCCACAAGAAATTTGCAGTGGCATCCATCTTCAGTACTGCTACTCTTAAAACAAAGAGATTAATCAGCTGCTTCCTAGAAGTCCAGCCTGTAAAGCCCACAATATGATTGCATTGCTAGTTTAACTGCCTGTCAAAATTCTGTTTGGCCATTTTCCCTTTGAATAGAATTAATGCAAATGAGGTCGCTTTCACAGTTTCTTTCACCCTGGATCCCTTTTTAAGTACCACATTTTCAAGATGTCTGGATGTTCTTTCATATTGGATAGGTATTCATCATTGGATTGATTGCAGACCGGAAGTTCCAGCATTTTAATCCTGTTTTGGAAACCTACATAAAGAAACATTTCAGTGCTACCTTGGCATACACGTAAGTATAATATTTTGACCCAGAAATAATGTCCTGAATACTGGGTATATTGAGAAGTCATTATTGTTAGGGCTGTTCTCGTTAGATTTATCTGCTCAGAATGGATTCCAAAGCTATTAGATGGGGTATCTTGAAGGCATGCCAAGGCTGAATTGAGTTGATCTTGGTAATTGTCTGACAAAGGCTGTTTCTCAGCAGCAGTAAGTACAGGTTCACTTTATAAGCAGGGACTGAGGAGGCTGAAGGGAGAGATGAGAAAAGCATCATTGTGTTAATGCTAACAAGTCATACCTTCACGAAAAGGCAGTCTTCTGAGTCTGTTCCATGATTTAGTTTTCCTTCAGGGATATTTTTCCATGATTTACTTTCCATCCCCCAAAATGGTGAGAGCCATTTTTTTGTCATTAGCATTGGCTACATTTGGTAATCAGGTTAATGTATTTATTCTCTGATTTTTAAGCATGTTAAGGACCCAAGATTTGTCATTAAAATGGCTAGTTTTCTGTTTAATATTCTGTAAGGTGAAATAAGATTTGTTATTTTTTTAATGTAGATTATTGTTAACAGAATGTCACACTGAAGGTATGAAGTAAGGTCTCTTGTGAGGTGTGTGCCATTTTAACCCACTGATACTATTCCAGATTATCCCAAAATAATGTTTGTCTACTTACCTGGCAAGAAATAGGAGGAAGGGCTGTAGTTTGGGAATGCTGTGACTTCGTGACACAGCACATGCCTTGGATGCAGAAGGTACCGCATTCAACCTCAGGCATAAGCTGGACTAGGAAACCTAGGTTTGAATTCCTACTCTGCCATAAAGGCTAATTGGTTCAGCCTAACCAGTTTGGTGTAGTGGTTAAGAGTGTGGACTCTAATCTGGGAGAACCAGGTTTGATTCCCCACTCCTTCACATGCAGCTGCTGGAGTAACCTTGGGTCTGTCACAAATTCTCTCAAATCTGTTCTCTCTAGAGCAGTTCTTGAAGAGCTCTCTCAGCCCCACCTACCTCACAGGGTATCTGTTGTGTGGTGTGATGGTTTGCAATCCGTCACATGGGGAGAGCAAGGGAAAGGAGATTGTAAACTGCTTTGAGACTCCAAGTGAAGGGCGGAGTATAAATCCAGTCTCCTCCTCTTCTTCTCATAGGGTATTTGATGTAAGGAGAAAATGGAGGAGAGAAAAATGATGTAAGCTATTTGGGGGCCCCACCGGGGAGAAAAGTGGCAAATAAATATGTCCAATTAAAGCATCCCATGTAGCAGGTTTTGGAACAGCCTGAGATCCTGGAGAGGTACTGCCAGTTAGAGCAAATAATACTCAGAAAGATGAACTAGTGATCTGGTAGCTTTACATGATCCTGTGATAATATAAGTTATTATCCATATTTAACAGAATACACAGTAGGGATATTATTTTTTAACAGAGGACTACAGCTTAGTGTTGTAGAACTGCCTTTTTTTGTTACCATGTATGATGGACTGTCAAGGTTTAATGCCTAATAGAGTCTGAGAACCTTTGAGTGACAGGCTGTTCTAACTGAATTCTGTTCAGAGAGTCAGTTAAGGAATGACAGTTGGAGACTGACAGTTGAAGAAGAGACAGATAAGCACTGGCTGTGGACTGGGAAGGAGGCTAAGAGAGTGAGTGGATCAAGGAGGATCCTCATTCAAGCCAAGTAAGGGAAATAGCTTATAGTAAAGAGAAGTGATCCCTACCCCGTTAAGAAGGGAAATAGCTCTTAAAGAAATGTGTGATCCATGGTGTGTGTATAAAGAAGGAATTTGGGAACTTGTTTGTATGTCCCTGCCTTCTAAACTTCATGTGTCGGTGAAATTCAGAAACCTGTGCTTGTGTGTTTAAGCAGAAACTGAAAAGAAATCCTCTCTCCTCAAAGTTTTAAATACTTTGTTGAGTAGAAGAAACACTTGTTGGCAACAAATTATCTGGTGTTTGTGTGAATACAAAGTTACCTGTTTTATTATCTGTTCACCTCATACATCCTACACCTGATTCCACCTGACCTTTTCTCCTCCAAATTAAATAAAACATTTTGTTTATTTTGAATTTTCAAAAGCCTCTTGTGTGCTATTTCAAAAGCAGAATAAACGAAGGTGATTTCGTCTCTTCCCTCATTTCTCTGAGCTGGGCCAGCATAAATAAAATGAAATAAAGCAAATGGTTGGGACAGCCATAGACAAATAAATAAGAAAACTGATAAAGGGGCTGCTCAGCAAGAAAGAAGACAGAAGGGAAAATTCTGCGTGTGAGGGAGGGAAGAGGGCAAGATCACCATATCATTAAAAATTGGGTTTCTTTAAAAAAATGCAGTGTCTGTCTTAAGAGTATATGAGTAGTTCAGGGCTCCCGAAAGCCATCATAGGTTTTGCAGTACAGTAGAAGCTGGGCCTGTGGAATAATTTAATTGAATCTGTAGTGTGTATTCTATTCTTGTAAGTTAAAGGAAAGTCATTATTTTTCAAGACTAAAAACAAATCTTAATTGTGCAGTACTTAAATTAAAACACCCTAAAATGAACACACATTCCACCGTGATTTATGGCTTTGCGTACTCTGATGTGTGAGAAGACTATCTGATTGAAGTTTAGTACATGCAAAGGGAGCAACATAAGAAACCTTATATACCTTTAGAACCTCTTTTCTGGTTAAAGAAAATGCTACTATCATGGTTGAGATATCGCAGCAGTGATAAAATTGTTATTTGTCCTTAAATTTAATGTATTTAGATACCTAAAGTGTATGTAAAATAGGTGGGTTATGCATTACTTATATTTTGAAGTACACGAGATGTAGGATTTTATAAACATAACTTACTGCAATGAAAGGAAAGAGTAAAAAAATCTGACAAAGTTTTTTGTTTAGTATCTTGAGAGCTGCTATAAATGTTTGGCCATAATGAATGCTGGATGCATACAGATAAACAGGAGCACAGGCATACATGCAACAGTGGCATTTCCTATGTAACATGCATAGTTGCCTTTAGAAAGTACTGTTTATTTTAAATTTGATTACAAAGTATATAAAGCTATTAGTAACCACTGCTAAGTTTGTGTATTAAGCATTTCATCAATATTTAATGTCATCCCTATTAACTCTACGCATAGTAAATCTACAAACAGAACAGGGATATAAATCAAATCTTAATCTTCTCTAATATAATTTGCAATTTAATTGATTTAGGTCTTTGCAACACTTTGAACCCACATTTACCTGGCAAGGAACTGTAAATGGAAGAGGGAAAAAATAATTGACTTTGTAGATGGTCTGATTAGAGGTCACTCACACTTTTCTTTCCAATTGGTCTTTCTGTTATCACACAATCATACAAAACTGTAGACAGAGTTTTCACATGTAACAGGTTAGTATCTGTTTTTTAAAAAGGGTATACACAGAAATATGATTCATTTTAGTGAAGCAATATTTACTTCATGACGCATATTTAATTGGTTACAGTGCACTCAGTACAGTGGGGAAGATCACCATACACACCTCCATAGAAGAAGGGAGAAGCTATTCTCTCCCCCCCCCCATTCTATATGTCTGGCTTGTCATAACTGAGGCACCTTACAAATAAAAACCACAAAAATGTGTTAAAAAATAAAAACAAGCCATTAAACATAAGCATAATAAAAGCTATTTATTTATAAAACAGAAGCAGGCCATAAAAAGATGGTAAGATAAAACCACCAATTAAAAGCCTGGGTAAAAAAATGTGTTTTAGCTTGGCACCTAAATAGGGTTGCCAACTGGACTTACCCCTCGCGGCGGGGGAGCCTCGCCGCGGTCCGGGAGCTGTTGCTTCGCGCGCGTGTGCTGGCAGCACATCACCAGAAGTGACGTGCGACGTTGCTGACGTTGGGGGTGTGGCCGAGCTCATCAGCAACGTGGCGTGACGCAGCTTCTGGGACAGGGTTCCCCCCGGGGCCCAATTCCGCCGCAGGAAATTGGGCCTCCGAAGCAGGGGATTCCCTGCCCCCCGGGCCCATTTGGCAACCCTACACCTAAAAGAAAGTAAAGTAGGTGCCAGGCAAGCCTTACAGGGAAGGGTGTTTCAAAGGTGAAGGGCTACCACAGAAAAGCCTCTGTCTCTAATTGATACCTGCGTCACCTCTGAAGGAGGGGGCACAGAGAGCAGGGCTTGACAGGCACATCTTTGTGGGCTTTGGGCTTTCCTTTTAAGTGGCTTATGGTAGCTGTTTGAAAAATGCAGGCCTGAGACTCCTTTTGAGCATGCAGAACTACTTGCCTCTTTCTTTGGATCCCACCCTTTCTGTTCTGGATTGCATCCATTGTGCATCACTTTCTTATTTCAGAATGTGTGATTTATTAATTTGCCAGTAACCTTTAAAAATCTTTCCACACAAAGACCTGAATGTATTCTTTTAAATCTATGGTCTACAAAAAACATAACTTCTTCTAAGAAATCATTAATTACCATTTTATTGACTGCAGCAAAAACATCAATTGCTCAGTTCTGGAAAGATCCTTCTCCTCCATCGATTCATTTATGGTATTCAAGGGTTTGGGAACATTTTATAATGGACAAGATTTCTACTAGTATAAATGTTCAAGATCCATATAAAGCATATAAGTCTTTTCTTAGCAAATGGAATACTGTATTAGAAAAAGTAGACAAACATCCAATTAGTTATTCAACCTTTGTTAATCACGAATATTATATGATGAAGCTACCATAACTGTGTAAAAATATTATTAGTTTTGTAGTTATAATTGTTTTATATTGGTTTCGCTTTATTTAAGTTATTAATAAATGTCAATTGTTATTCAGTTTATAGTTCAAATGTTAAATCAAAGTTGAATGGTTAGTTGTATATGTTGTAAAGGAAAAAAACTATAAAATAAAAAAAATTGTATTTTTTAAAAAAATCTTTTCACACAGAAAACTGACAAAAGTTTTAAGAACCTATGTGGATAACGCTGGTGTCACTGAACAACTATTTAAAGCTATGAAGTCTTTGGAATACATCTTCAAATTTATTGTACGGTCGAGAATTTTATTCAACCAGTAAGTATCCTGTTCTTGGTGATACCACATCTTTTAAATGCCTCAGTTTTTGTAATAAAGATTGTTAACAGTAGACATTGGGTTGGATCAAGCAGAAGAGTTCACAAAAGGAATTGGCCTTGTGGATCTTTCCCCACCTTCTTCTCTCATAAGCAGCCTTCTCTCTGTCCTAAAAATCCTCTCTGAGGATTGGGAGAGCACCACAAGCAAAATGTTATGCAGGATGAGGTGCTGCAACAGCGAGGGGAAACTGGGTCACAGCTCCCCCCCCTTCTGCTTACATCCAGTATCACTGGAGGAGAAAGAGGAGGAGGTGATTTACCTGGTTTCTCCAATCTCATGTTTGGATCAAGCAGGAGGCTACTTGAGGAAGGGAAGGGAGAGAAAGATCTTCCCCATCGATGAACTCTTCCTCTGAATCCAGCACATTGAAATAAACGATTGTCTGGGGCATACTGAAAATCCTACCTTTTTATTATTCTCTAATTAAATGAACAATGACTGTTTTGCAGTTCACTGTGTATTTCCTGCTGGTTAATTATTAATTCATTTTGTGTTACCGTTGACTCTGGAAAGGCAGTGTGTCTGAATAATTAGGTGAAGTCTCCAAAGTTAATGATACAATATTTTCTTATTCTTAAACTTACAATCCTACTTGATAATGGAGATGCTTAAGAAATATTGAATCTGCCATAGAGTTGAAACACAAACAGTAGATAATCTCTTGGCTATAATGAAAATGCTTAGTCAAGGTTATATTAGAAGTTAAGGTCAATTTTTAAAATCTATTTGGGAATATAGGAGACAATAATTGAAGCTATTTTCCATTGTGTTCAGAGGAATCTGTTGGTGCATTTGAATTAGGACTAATACGTGTTTTATCACAGCACTTATAATGTGCAATTCACTTTATAACTGATTTTTACAAGGTAAAAAAATTACAAGGTAAAAATCCAATTATTTACCCATTGGTAAATTATTTTCTGGAGATTTGAACTTATCTTTCCAAATTCAGCAGTCTGTTTTAGAGACCACATTGGTTTGAATTAGCTTCTTAGAAAATTCGATGTCCTACCAGTGTTTAGTATGTGGCCATTTTGACTTTCTATGTGCATGTGACTGACTCTGCTAAAAAGGGTTTTATTTTAAAAAATCTGGCAGGTAGAATATATTCAATTGACAATTTGTACAACGTAAACTACTCTGGTCCTCATGGGGAAAGAGGTGGGGTATAAATGAAGTAAATAAATACCAATCAGAATATAAAAAATGCACCCTTTGTGCTTTTCATTACAATTTTTCGATTAAGGAAACCATTTCTGTGCCAAAAGTATTCAATACCAGTTCAATAACCCCCCCCTCAGGAGTATATTGGTGAAGGAACCCCCCCCCCAAAAAAACATAATTTCAGCATAAATTACTAATATGTTCTTAATCTTCCCAACTGAGTTTTAAGCAAACTTTCCTTTCCTTTAGTGCTCTTTGTAAGAGAGGTATTTAATAAAGAGTGATATGATGATTACATCTAAAAATAAAAAAATTTTCATTACAATTTTTTGGTTAAAGAAACCATTTCTGGGTCCTCATGGGGAAAGAGGGTATAAATGAAGTAAATAAATACCAATCAGAATATAAAAAATGCACCCTTTGTGCTTTTCATTACAATTTTTTGGTTAAAGAAACCATTTCTGGGTCCTCATGGGGAAAGAGGGTATAAATGAAGTAAATAAATACCAATCAGAATATAAAAAATGCACCCTTTGTGCTTTTCATTACAATTTTTTGGTTAAAGAAATCACAATATGCCTCTGAAAATCATAATGCAGTAGGATCAGTTCAGTCAAGTGTGTGCTGACCAGACCAAGTATTCTGTGTTGAAATGATGGATGCAAAACTCTGGTAATTGAAGATTAATCTTTATGTTTTTACAACTCTTTATATTTCAGTATACTTGCAGAAGGTAATCCATTAAAAACAAACCTGTAATGTTTTGGCTGTCACTGGTCAGAAAACTGTGATGAAATGCTGTATCTTTGTGAGCATAGCGTTCACTCTAATTACGTTTATATTGTTTGTTTTTCAGACTTTATGAAAACAAAGGAGAAGCTGACTTTAGGGAGTCTTTACTTCATCTCTTTAAGTCTATCAATGAGATGATGAGTAGTGTGTCTGATCAGACAGTTATAGTAAAGGTATGATTCTAAAATAAAACTATTTAATGTTTATCTTCTCGCATTGAGGTGCAGTAACATATACCTAGTGTCCTGTACAACATATAATGGTTGAAGAGAATTTTAAGTTTATTGTTTTGCATTTAATTTGAAAAACAATATCTTTAGGAATTTAAGGTAATGGCTGGTTCTAGACAAAATGCATTATTATGGGTAAGAAGCTGGGAAACTTTGGACTCGCATACTTCTTCATCCCTTTGTTTATGACCAGAGTAGTCGATATTTCTGTTTTTGCGGCAAACTGTGTGTTTGAGTTTTCTCTTCAAACTGGGATTAAGATGGAGATTTGAATTTGGATTAGGAAGAGCATAAACCATAGACTGTTGGTTTGGATGTAGAATCAAATTATGTCTTGCCACAGAAGTCAAAGGATCTAATTAGACTGTAGCATGTGAGAGGAGAAGGGAGGTGGAGTACATGAGTTGTGCAATGGTCTTAAAATAATATAGTGGAAAATCATACAAATCATATACGTATCTTGTAGCAAGCCCTGATTCCTGTTGCTTTTCAGAGATTAGTTATTCCACGTAATTTGTGGTAGAAATATGGTTTTGAGGCAGCTCCCTGAACTGGCAGTTGTACAAGTATATCTTTGCTATGCTGTTTTTTACACCAAGGATTGGATGTAGTTTATAAAAGACTCCCTTCCCCAATAACCACCTTAGCAAACAAAAAGGCAAAACTAGCAGAATTACACATGGTTTATTAATATGTTTGTTATTATTGTTCCTAAAATGGTGTAGGTTTGCATGTGTTTAATTATGCATGTTGCTGGTTAGCTTCTTGTCCTCAAGCAATGAGTGGAGCTGTACAAAGTGGATTGCTACCAGTCAGTGGTAGCTGTGCAGCCCTGGACCCAGGCTGAATTAGTGTACATTGTACTAGTATGCAAGGCACTGCTTTCTTTGCTTTGTAAATCTATTTCCTTTACTTACTTGAATTGGCCTTAAACTATGTTGCTGAATGTCTCTAGCATGAGTGAAACAAATCTAATAATGTCTTATCATTGTGCTATTGGTAGAATAATTAGCAACAAACTTAGCATATTTCAAATTCCAGTATTTAGTTACATTTTAATACTTGGAGATATTCATTTTTACAGGGAGAGTGTAATTATTATGAATTCTACTTTTTGACTTGTTACAGTTTCACTCCTCCCCACACTTTCCTCATCATGGTTTTCACATTGTGGTCTGATCTAGGAGCAATTGATGATATGTGAAATTACAGTTCTGTTAATTCAAATCAGCCTAGAAAATAGCCTTTTCATATTCTGTTACAGAGTACCTAGTCATTTAAATAAATGAGAAATTTGTTTCATATAATAACTCTGCCTGTGAACTGTGTCACTTTCATTAAGGAATAATTAACTTTATGGTGGTTGATCTTCCTGTCAGAATATATGTGATTCCTAGAAAGATACAGAAAATGTCCAATGATGAACATGTTGTCTTCATGTAACGGAATGCAAAATAGGGTGTGGTTTGCACACAATGTAGCATCCAGACAAGAGTAAAAGAACATGAAAGACGCTGCAGACTTGGCCAACCTGAAAAATCAGCAGTGGCTGAACATAGCTTCTCAAACAGGACACAGTAACTTATTCCACGACACTGAAATGCTGGACAACACATCCAATTACCATGTCAGATTACACAGGGAAGCCATTGGAATTCATAAACATAAACACAATTTCAACAGGAAGGGAGTTTAAAAATAAATAGGGCATGGTTTCCAGTCCTGAGAAACAAAAAATGCTCTACATCTTACAACAGCACTACAGATAAGATTAGAATTTCAACAGCCAATCCATATGCAAAAGAACCTCCTCAGGAAAGCTCCTCCATTAGCATGTCACAGCCTGGGAAACTCCTACCCCAACTTCCTGAGTAGATATAAATTACCTGCCTACCATTTTTCTTCTCACTTTGACACAGAGAGTACTTCATCTTTGTGTGTTAGACCTCTGAGGATGCCAGTCACAGCCGCTGGCAAAATGTCAGGTACTACAATCCCAAAAGTACGGCCATACAGCTCGGAAAATCTACAACAACTAGTGATGGAAGACTTCATCAGGATTGTTTGTATTGAGGGTTTTTTTTAAAAAAATACTACAAGCACTGCTCTCTCCCTTAAGAAGATCCCCTGCATCTCCTTAAAGCAGCCAGGAAGGACAGTCAAGCACTTAGGCTCTTGGTATTTGCTTTCCAAGGATTATGTCCAAATCCTAGAGCTGCACAAATTGGAAAGCACCCATAAAACTCAAACAACCACAGAGCTGCCTAGAATTACTGGTGTATTAAATATGACAGACAACTCATAAGGCCCTGCTGTATCAAACCAAAGAGCCACCTAGTCCAGCATCTTGTCTTACACAATCCTCTGGATGGTCAACAAGAGGACATAGAAGCTAAGGCCTTTCCCTGATACTGCCTCCTGGCTCTGGGATTCAGAGGCCTAGTGCTCCTCAGTCACTATGGCTAGTAGCCATTGATAGACTTATCCTCCTTGAATCTATCTAGCCCCCTTTTAAAGATGTTCACTACATCCTCCACATTTCCACATTTTAATCACTCTGTGTAAAGTAGCATTTCCTTTTGTCTGTCCTAAATCTACTGCCCATCAGTTTCATTACATGCCCTCAAGTTCTAGCATTTTGGGAGAGGAAGAAAAAGTTACCTTTGTCAACTTTCTCCACCAGCTATCTACTACAACCCCAAGATCTTTTCCCCTCTCAGTCTCAGCAAGCTCAAACCCCATTAGCCTATACTGAAGTTGGGATTTTTTTCAGAAGAGATAGAGGAAATTTAATCTGCAAAATGGTTGGCAAATTGATCACTCACTTCTTAGCAAAGAGACTAGTGGAAATTTATGAGAACCACCCAGTAATTCTTGTGGATTAGTAGCAAAGGTGGTCCCTTCAGAAAATCTGTGATGGACCAAGCTAGCTTTTGTGGATGTGTTCTGAATGATCACCCTTCACTGATGTCAAGCCTAGAATCATAGAATCATAGAGTTGGAAGGGACCTCCAGGGTCATCTAGTCCAACCCCCTGCACAACGCAGGAAATTCACAACTACCTCTCCCCACACCCCCAGTAACCCCTGTTCCATGCCCAGAAGATGGCAAAAAAGGCCTCCAGGATCCAGGCAACTGGCATTTCCCTGGGCATGTAAGAAAGGGTCATGAGAACTAAGCCCTGATGCAACCCTCCCCGCCCTCCTTCTCATGATCTGCTTAAGTTCACAGGATCAGCATTGCTGTCAGATGGCATTCCAGCCACTCCAAAGAAGGAGCACTCACCGCCTCCTGAGGAAGCGTGTTCCACTGAGGAACTGCTCTGTCAGGAAGTTTTCCTAATGTTTAGCTGAAAACTCTTTTGATTTAATTTCAACCTGTTGGTTCTGGTCTGACCTTCTTATACTTGGTGATTGACACGGTTGGGTCTCTTGCTTTTTAGGTGTACCAAAAATACTTCTATAGCAGTGTTGCTAACCATTTAGGAAGGTATTTCTAGCACATTGGTTCCATGCTTTTTCTTTCCAACAGGCTAACCACTTGAACACATAATCCTGCTCATTTTCTCCCTCAAAATTTTGCTCCATTTGGTATTCTTGTTTTATGTGCTCTCACTACTGGAGTCCTTCAGTCTTAGAAGGATAACAGAATCTTTTCATTTCTGTTAACTCACTCATCCCAGTACTGCTTAAAGTACTGCATCTAAAAGTAGTGAAGAGCTAGTTTGATTTATCCTTTTAGTGGGTGATTATGGAAATCCATATTGTCTGTGTGCTGAATAAACCATCACTTTTGCTGTGATGGGAACAGGTTTGTGAACTTTATACTGCTGTACAAGTATGTTACTAATTCTAATTAAAAATGTTAAGAAGTCAACAAACTGCTTAATTGTTGGTAATTGTTCCTGATGTTGCATTGGTATCTGATGATTGTTGCTTGAAATTAATATCCCTGTACTCTTGTATATCAGCATCTGGGAATAGCCAAGGTAGTAATGATGCCACTAATCATGCAGAATCTCATTTCAACTACAGCTTGCAAACAGAGTAAAGGTTACATTCTTGGCTTAGCTTTCGTAAGAATTAGTATCGACCTTGTGCTATGTTAATGGGCTTTCTGATTAAACCAATTTAGACCCATTTGCCTTCCTTTGTTCTTTCAAGCTATATTATATTTTAATAAGATCTGAGGCATTAAATGTAGATTTTTCTGTATTTGTGGATTTGTTTTGAAGAACTGAGGTCCAATTTTTGCTTCATATTAGAATTACTGAAAAACTAGTTAAATTAAGAAAACATTAAGGAAAGCTGCTATTTATTTTAATCAATATAAAAGAATATTCATTACAAATATCATAGAAATATAAAATATTTAAACCAAGGGGGATTGCCTTAAGCCAGTTGTAAAGGGAAATACTATTCAGTATGCCTTCTGATAAATCTTTCCATCCATAATACAGTAAAAGCTTTGTTATCTGGGGTGATTATCCAGAATGCTGAGTTAATCATAATTGCCAGAAGGCAGGCTCCTCAGCTGCCATACCACTGCTTTTTGGGCCCATGTGCCCCACTCTCACCTTTCTGGCAGGCCAGCTTGATGCTTCTGAATATTGCTTCCAGTTGGTGCTGCCAGCTGACATCATTCTCAGGTGCCTCCTTCCTCTCAGTCTGTTTTGAGCTGTCTCAGCTTCAGAGCCCTTAGGCAGCTGGTCCACTTCTTGAATGCTATGCTGGATGGCTGGGTGTTGGAAATGGTTGGGTCCCTCTAGGCATGGGGGCTATCTCCACAGTGTTCCCTTTTAACTCATCAAGCGGCCTTATACTGAATCAGACTATCGGTCCATCAAGTCAGTATTGTCTACTTAGAGTGCCAGTGGCTTTCTAATATCCCATATAGAGATCTTTCACATCACCTGCCACCAGCTGGAGATGCTGGGGATTGAA